ATTTAGAAGTTAAACATGAGAAATTGTCAGTTATTGTCAATATCTCTTATTTAAGTGGGATGAATTGAGCAAACGCCTCAAAATATTCATCTAGCCATTTCAGTTCACAATAAAAGATAAATTCCTCGCTGGTATACATGCATTAAATTAACTGGAATAAATTAGTCTTGTAAATGTAAGACCAATTTTTGTCAGTTGTAAATTTGTTCAAAATGCTTCGTCCATTACTGTCAGTTAGTTGTATGCTTAAAAAAGAAAATTTCAAACTACGGACGTCATAGGATTCCCTCTATCAAATGCACTTATAAGCATGTATAGCTGGAAACATATCTTACGATTATTTCTTTTTTATAGTAAAAAATAGCATAGGACACAGCTTAGTTATGCAAAATACAAATGTTACCGTGGTCAGTCCGGCGAATGACAATTCACGACGTTTTGGCCAGTGTCTCACGGGCTTTCGTCATTGTAGTTAGGTGGTGGAGTCTCCTTAATGTAATTGTACTTCCGCAGCAGTTGATAGTTTCTGAGCGAGAATGCCAATCACCAGACTGACAGCAGTATTTTTTGGGTAGTGTATAAATGAACCGTATTTTACGTTATTTTCTCCACTTACAGCTGTGTTTTTGAGCTAGAAGCCAATATTTGATTGATGGGCTGACACTTTCCCTTTTAAAAGTTTCCATATCTAGTAGTGCTGTGCATAGTGTTTTTGTGTTTCGGTAGAATTTTTTTTTGATATTCGGCTTGTCTACGTTTTAGGCATGCGGAATGTGGCAGAAATGGAAACAATTGATTATTCGTCATTATTTGTTTCCACAATGTTTATTTAGAACGATTCAAGGTTTATATGCTTGCAAAGATTTCTGTGAATTTGTAAAAAGAACATTGTGCCGTTTTAACATATGATGAATAGTCGTAAATTGTTTTTTCTTGTCTGATCAAGTCTGAAAAACGTAAGCCACTTGTTTTCTTTGAAGTATGGAAACAAAGTTTCGTTATTATGCAAGTGGCATCAGCAAAAAATATTTGCTATTTGAGATGATATTTAATTAAAATCCGCATCGAGTCAATTTTTACACAAAAATCTAAGTTGGAAGTGGTTCATTTACTTCAGCATTCTGATTCAGACGATGCTCAAACATATAGTAAATTTATGCAGCCAGCTCGTAAGCTTCTCTGGTGTTTCACCTACAGCTCGTAATCATCGTTTCGTTCATCGTCATCTCATGGGCAGTATTTTCTTTATTCACGAATTCCTTTGAGCAAGGAATTTACCAAGTATTGCTTCAAACCGGGGTTACTAATGGATTACAGCGACGAGTTCATAACCGACAGGTGACGAGATCAAGCCCCTGTCGGAGTCATGCGCTTGTGAGGTTAATAAGTGAGGAGCAGTCGGTGGGAAGGGAACAGTAGACTTCACCCCACGCTGCCACGTGCCTGTATACTGTGACTTTAAAATAAAGCCATCCTAGCCGAAGAAATTTGAATGAAGATTAGCGCAGCACCATCTACTTTATGAACAACATCCGCCAAAGTAGCCCATCATGAAAATGACGAGAACTTTCCTAGTTTTTCATCATCGTTAAATGGAGTGGCAGGAGTATTCAAAAATGTAAATGTGATAATATAACCGCAATATTATATAAAAAGATTCAAATTTTTATGGGTACTGCTTTTCCTTGTCTTCAGCAGCAATGGCCTGTTTTCCAGTTATGTTATTCGATTTCATCCATAAACGATATTCCGCGGTACCTTTCACGTTTGGCGTACGTCAGAAGCGCATCGTTGTCAAAATGTCATTCCAACGTTATTTGACGTTGCATCCTTCTGACGTACCGCGGAGCCGAGTGAAACGCGGTTTATTGGCATCGTAGTGCTCTAGGAGCTTCTGGTCATGTAAATGAATCATGTCCTTTTAGAATTACTAACCTTTGTGGAACCGGTATTACAAGCGTGTATGGTTCCCACCTGTGAATCGCACTTCTCTAATAAACATTAAAAGCGAATGTCCATTCACCTTTATTGGAGGTTCGCACTGATTTCGATAGGCAGGAACAGAACAGCACAGGGCAGTGAAAGAGTAGTATGCCATGACGTATAGCCACTATATTTACAATCAACAGAACAGCACATCTTCTCTCTGCGGTTCTGAATTTTTACTGTCAAAGAATTCACTTTGGGTACGTGTTTCTTGTTATCATAACCTTGAGCCGTTCTCACGAGCTAAACGTCTCTGGCTTGTGATGTTCGTCATATTCCTAGCTTTACGAAACTTCTGCGACATCAATGTTGCAAGCTGGTTCCCTGGTTTGCCATGCTTCAACTACTCACAATTAGTCCGATTTTACGCAAATGGATTATGCTCAACTAGTTTATATAACCTACTTTTCTTTATCTCCAAATCCGGAAGCGAATATATCTTTATGCAATTCAAGCGCCGTTCTTAACCCATTGCTAGAACAACTGCCTTCAGTCGGTATAACAACACAGTCTTAATAATACCATGGTAAGGCAAATCAGTTGACAAGAGAGCTCCTTTTTCAGCCCAAATATCAGATTTTTCCGTAAGGACTCGGGACTAGAACAATGATATTTCTTATCTGACTCTGCCTGAACGTTACCATCGCTAGAAATGATTTAGCAGAGATATTCGAAATGGCCAAACTCCTGAATCTCGTTAACTGCTATTTGAAGGTCAGCTGTGCCAGATGAGTTCTTCATAACTTTGACTTCCAGGCGTAAAGAAAAGTGCCGGCTATCGCAGCTGTATCGCAAGATGCCGGAAGTTTTCAGGTGACAGAACACACTCCTTGTGCTACTGACCTGGACGAAAACACTGAGTTCTCAAGACGAACAAGATATCTAGGCCCCTTCCACTTAAAATGGTACTTTAGTCACTGCCAGGATCAGCGGTGTTTCTGAGAAGAAAGTCGAGAACAGCGTTGAACGGCAAAGACGAGCGCACAACTTCCTGAAAAACTTTCCAGCTACTAGAGAACTGGATTGTTCTCCTTCAACAGCAGACATGTTTCCTATCTGCATCTCTTCTAATGCGGAGACAGCGCACTCAAGTATCTCACAGCATTTCAACTTCGTCATCATCATTAGCTAATCTATTATTTCAAAAGTGAGCTTAAAGTTGGGTAAACTAGCAATCGTCAAGCCGAGCAAATGCTCAGTACCGTTGTTCTTTTTCACTCATCACTCAGAGGCTAATCGATTTGTGCAAGATCGGGATCATTCTAATTTCTTCCTAAACTATTCCCTAGCGAAATGAATGCAACAGTAATTGTGATCATGAATGAAAGAAGAACAATTTAATCAATGAATTTAAGCAAGTGATTAGGGCTTAATGAAGAAATGAAGAAAGAAGAAATTGACGAAACAAATGAACCGCTGAATGCATGAATGGGCGAAAATGAACGGATAAAAAAATTGTACTAATGATCTAGTAATAGAGTAAGTGAGCAAAAGTGAGTGAATAAGAGAACCAAGATTGAAACAACCAGTCAGTGAACAGTGTTAAGTGTATGAATCAATTATTAAACATGACGCTGTTCGTTGTAACGCGCAGCCCTGTTCGCAATTTTAGCTGATCTGTCAAACTCGCTGCAACGCGGAATGAAGTTCTCTCTACCATTCGGTAAATATTTATTCTAAGTGTGAGTTTCACCTCAGATGCCTTGCTGTTTTTGCACTCAAATGTGACAGAAAACCTCCCGACAATAAGCAGCTGTTCTCAGAAACTTTCGCACAAAAAGCCATTCTGAGCTGCGGTGCGCCTGGCGTTGGCTGAACGAACCGGTCACCAGAATTGTTGAGCGAAGTTGTTTTTTAAACGCGTTCACCGACCAATGGTCAGGTGGCCTCTGGCAGGTATTTTCAGACATGGCTGTGCCTTACAACAGACTTCAAGAATTTCGGTCTTCATCAACTTTACAACACTTTCAACCGCGTTGTTAAATTGGTTTGAATGATGATTAATTTTAGGAAAATAGTCTGAATTGTCAAAATGTCTTTTTGGCGCAGAAAGAAACAAAGATTGTTGGCATTTCATTTCTTCGTAAACCGGAAGTAACAGTAACAGGAGCATGTTTTCATTCCCCAGTCTGTTGTATCGTTCGAACTTTCACTGAAATTGGTACATAGAAGCTCTGATATGTTAAGATAAAATATCTGCTGTTGGGCGAAGGTTAAATCTGACATTGGAGGAGTTACGCGTCATTTAACATAATACGACCGGCGAACAACTTCGAGCGTATAAGAAATACCAACGTCTGAAACAACGTTCCTGTTGAGCGCCAGGTGACTCCAGAGGGCACAACGATGTAGGTGAACAAATACCGTAAAGTTGTGGCGTCCTTGAATGCCCCCCCCATCAAGTCTGAGTCGACTCGGGGGGGGGAGGGGGTGCAGTGTGTCATGATATCTGCTCTTGAAGGAATTATGAGCCAATTAGCTTACTCAATCCGCGAGATGGATTTACTTGACGTAATTCATCATTTGTTTTTAATATTATCTTCTTGAACTTATTAGCGATTTTTTCAATTCCTTTATACGGCGTGAAACCACGACAGCATAGAATCGGATGCTTAGAGGCTTCGAATTGCATCTGTCTCTGATCGTGGAAAAATGAAATTTACGTCATCGGTATTAAGTGCCAGAGATACCTTGAGTTTAAGACTCTTGAGAGTGTCAGGCTGCGCGATGGCGCTACGGCTCGAAACCGGCTCCACCCACTAGCTTTGACGAACCTGTCCGCACTCAATGGTGTTTACTCATGACGAAGGTGTTTACTCAGTCAGCTAGCCTCCAACAACGACGACGACGGCCGTTCATGTACGACTGACATTGACGATCGACAACGACTGTAAAAGCATATTTCGATTTCGCCAACGACATCAATGCCGTTGGGTGTTTAACTGTACTTATTGACACCTGCCTTGCACCTGAAAACCCGTCGTGGTGCATCACGGTCCAGCTGGCCCCGGTCGATGGCCGACAATAGTCCCCGTTCCAGATGGGACAATTTCGACGAATGGGCGGCACATGCTTCGACAGGTCAGGCAGCGTCGTTTCCTCCTAACCCAGTGTACGACCAGTACATTTCGTCGACAACCACCAGCGATGCATCAGAGTACATAACTTGCAACGGCTTTCTGTAAGTACCGTTACTCTTTCCCACACTTAGTTACCAGTCACTGCCTTAGGTGTCGAAGGGAGCTCGGATGCTGTGAACAAGGATGCTGCAGCGGCGAAGCACTGGGGTAAGTAGGCAATGCCGATGCGGCCATCGTCAAAAATGTAGTAACAGTTTTGTTTCGTCATCACTCTTGGAGGAAGGCGAGGCGAGGTTGTATAATTGTGGAAACTT